GAATAAGGATGATGCCTAGCATGGAACAGTAAGTCTCAATACATGTGTTGACTAATGAGGGGAATAATGAGGAAATAAGAATCTGGCTAAGGAAACAAAAATATTAAAGAGTTATTACCCAACCCTTAAATAACTTAAAAAGAGAAATGCACAAGGAAGTTATAGGGATAGTTACCAAGATAGTGAACCACCATATACTGAAGAGACAGAAAGATAAGACTTAGTTCCTGACCCAAGTCTAGGGTCTGAAAGCAGACAGATTTATTTCTGCCATTCAATCTGGGAAGTGTAATTATAGAGATACTGAGACCAGGCTAAGGAAGCACAAAGAAGAGAAAAAGCAACTGATTGAAAGACTTAGGCAAGACCTCACAGAGGAAATAAAATTTGAGCAGGCAGAGAGAAAAAAGCCATTTTTAGTAAAGGACTGAAAAAAAGGATTTGATCTATGAAATTTGTCAAAATATTCTGGGAAATGCTAAATAAATCATTGAACTTTTCTAAATACTGTAAATACTATACAAATTCTTAAAGAAAAATTTGTACCAAAAAAAAGTACTAAGTAAATTATTCCACTGGCTGTAATAATAGCACCAATAATCTGTTTTTTTGTCATATAAAAATATAATATAATTTTATATGAAATCCTACTCTACAGTCTATCTAATATAGTTGAATATCATTTTTACATATTTGCTTTGGTCAGTTTTGATAAAACAATAAAAACACCACTCCATTTTTATTTCTGTTCTCTTGAGATTAATAAACAAATCCCTTTTACAATATCTAATATTTAAAGCAGTCAAAAGTCAAAATATGTGGCATTTTTCACCTTGCCAATATCATGTTAAGTCAAGGGCCTCTTACCAGGCCAAGAAATCCAAAGTTAGACAAAAGCAATCCACTGGGATCAAAAATTTGCCAAATCTCATAATTCAAAAAGAAACTGTTAAAGATGGTTGTGAGGTTTTGGCACTGTGAGTTCAAGTCATTTCATGATAGGGTTTCTATTTCATCTAATCAGCAAATCGGAAACTATAAAAGTTTTGGTGGTTGTGGGGGAATTAAAATTTGGATCATAATACACAAGTTTTTCCTTACCTTCCATATGTTTCAGAGTTAAAACTTCTAAATCTTGTTTTTTAAAAATGCCTTATAAAAAATAAAGCAGCTTGTAAAATCATATTTTTGGAACAGGAAATTTAAAATACTGAGGCTTGAAAAGAAGAACGGGGTAAAAAGGACATACAGTTTCCATAACCAGAGTAGTGTCAGGCTCTAGGTGTATTCAGAAATAAGTACATTTAAGCTTCCAATTTTTTTCTTTTCTGAAACTTGTATGGCTATTTTTTGATGGTGATTATTTATCAATCTAATGAAAAAGGATTCCATTTGAAATTCTTAAAAACATCGCAAAGGTAGTAGTCTAGGCAAGAGATGTATACGAATTCTATTCTTATGTGGAGCTATATGAATTATGATACTATCTGAATAAGAAATGGGAAGGTTTTCACAAGTTAAAACAAGTTTTCCTAACTGGCTAAACTCGACATATAATAATCTCCTAAGTGACCGAAATAGCAGCTCGGCCTTGTCAACTCTGAGTGATGCTCTCCTTTCCCTTTGTCTGTTCTTCTTCTGTTGGGTCTTATATTGATTTCTTTCATAATTTCTTCTTATTTTTTATTTTGTTATCTTTTTGTTTTCATAGGGAAATATTTCTTTACCTTTATTCTCCTAGCCTTCAAATGAAATATTTTTAACACTGTTATTTTATTTATTTATTTTAAATTTCAGTTGACATTCAGTATCATTTTATATTAGTTTCCAGTGTACAACACAGTGGTTAGAGAATTATATAATTTATGAAGCGATCTCCCCAATAATTCTACTACCCACCTACCACCATACATAGTTATTATAATACTACTGACTTTATTCCCTATGCTATACTCTGCATCGCCCAGCTACTTTGTAACTACCAATTTGTACTTAATCATTTCCCTTTATTTACCCAGTCCCCAAACCCTCTCCCATCTGGCAATCATTAGTCTCTTCTCAATACTCATGAGTCTCTTTCTGTTCTGTTTGTTCATTTATTTGTTCTTTAGATTCCACATATATTTATCATAGTTTACCCATGTTATGGCAAATGGTGAGATTTCATTCGTTTTTATGGCCAAGTAATACTCCATTGTGTATATGGACCACATCTCCTTTTTCCAGTGGTCTATTAATGGACACTTAGGTTTCTTCCATATCTTGGCTATTGCAAATAATGCTGCAATGAACATAAAGGTGCATATATCTTTTTGAATCACTGTTTATAAAAGTTCCTTCTAATTTTTCATTATTTATGGTTTAATGACATCCTGCTTCATCACATACCACATTACCATCTCTTTCTAAGATTTTTTTTTAAACATCTCTTTTCTCTAGTGTCTTCCTAACAATGTTTTCTTCTCTTTCCTCCAGTGTCCTCCTAATAATTTGTTTTCTATGGGGGGAAAATGCGGACAATTGTAATTGATCAAAAATTTTTAAAAAATTGTATAAAAAATCTTTTACATTTGAGGCTTTCGTAATATGATTGATGATTTCTGGTTTCCCACTGATATTTAACAGTAAGTTAATAAAAGTTAAATGATATCCCTAAGACTAAGGTGTGCTTTCTAGACTGGACAGATTCACTTTTGCGTATCTGCTCTGGGTACTAGCCATTTATAGGGCCTCTCCAAATGTAGGTGTGTGGAAATCTTTTTTACACAATGATCAGTTTCTCTGGAAAAGACTTCATCTTTTAGGAGGTGGGGTATGTAGGGTGTGGGGAGGTAGGGTTGCCGGGGAGTATAAAGTCTTGTGTTGCTGGTATTCTGCATGAGGCAGGGGCAGGGAACTGAAAATCTGAGTACTCCACTGGAAGACATTCACTCAATCTTCTTTTCAGCCCCCTTGCATTCCACTTTCAATTGTGCAAGCTGGCCCTGAGTTCTGGACCTCTCTTACTCAATGGCACCACCCCTATGAGCTTCCTTTCCCTTGACTTAGAGGTGAGTGCCTGGTTGGGACATTGTGTAAATTGGGGAAAGAATGGATTGTTTCATATATATGTTATAACTGATTACCCCATTTTATGCTTCTTAACTCACTCTCTTCTGGGCCAGCAGCCTCCAAGTACTGAGTTATCTCTCCAGGTTTCTTTCCATGTATGTAAGATTTCTCTTCATTGTTAACCCATCCCGAAGTCAGCTCTGAGAAATCAGTTGTAATACCTCCTCTTCCACTTCCTGACTTCCAAAAATCAGTTTAAATGTCATCTCCTCTTGCATTCTGATTGTTTCTATGAGGTTATTCTTTCTCAACATTTTACTCAGTAAAAGTTTATTCTAATTTATCCACATAATCACTATTTCTTTGTTCACCATTCTTTCCTTCCCTCACTCAGTAACTCCTTCTAGATTTAGCTGTTTTATTTATTTATTTTTAAGGACATCTACTATAATTTCTTCAGCAAAAGCTTCAGTGGACTAAATTTGTATTAAATTTCTTGGCCTATAAAGTCCCTGGTTATGCAAATAAATACAAAGCCTAAGCCTGGTAGAAGGACTTACTGACAAATTCCCAGCAGAGACTTCTTTCATTCTAGATTCTGATCCCACACTGAGACAGGCAATCCTACATTCTGCTTTTTGTATCAGTATGCAAACTTAGTCCATATTATCCTTTCACTAAGGATACCAATTCCCTTGCTTTATTGACATATAATTCCTAGCCTTCCACTAGTCCAAAGCTTTGTCTCTCAGTCCATTAAGAACAAAAACAAACAAACAAACAAAGCCCCTTCTCTTCCCACAGGTTATCACAGCTGGTAAACTATCCCAAATCAGCTACACTACAGGATAGGCCTACTATTTACTCTTCTGGTGTTTGATAATCATTTCATTTCTAGATCCTAGGAAATTCTCTTAGTAGTTTTTGAGTTCAGCTATGCATTGAGAGCATATGTGTTATATTTTATTAAATGTATCTAGTTTTTTGCCTTTTTTTTTTTTTTTAGTGAGACATTTTTTGGTTACCTAGTCTACCTATATAATTTCCTTAATAGCATTTGAGTGGTATCTTAGAATAGATACATAATAATTTTGTGTTTAATCTAGCGTCTTCTGTGAGAAATTGAATGTTATTACTTTTAAGTAATTATACCTCTCTGCATTCACGTAGGAATCACTTTCCTGGCCTTTTGCTCTATGTTTTCCTAGTACTTATTTATTTTTATTAAAACTGGAGAAAGAGTAGGTGGTGTAACTAAATCAATATAGGAAATAGATTCAGATTAGGATTGAGGGCTAATTCTACTTATTAGCCGGGTGAGTTCAGAAACTTTACATATTTTGGACAACCCTCTGCTGCATAAAATAAAAACATTAATACTACTTTGAAACATAAAATTATACTATTTGGTAGAATATCAGGAATTTCTTATGCTCAACACTAATACCACTTTCATGGAACTGTGACCTCAAAGAGTGTTTGTCACATAATGAGTGACCGAATGGTGCTTCACTACTCTTTTATAATAATTTCAGTGTGAAGGAATTCCAGGTGATATTGATCCATGCACATGCTAAGTTTTGCCTATTTTAAAAGAATCATACTTAGTTCTACATTACAGCCAATTCTGGATTAAAATTGGCTTATAGAACATAACCTTTATGCAAATATTGTTATGACAAATTAATTATGTAATCATATATTGGGAATTCTCCACTTATATGTTTTCATTAAGTTATACATGACATAGAACATTTTATCTAAAGCAAACCCCATAGTCAAAGAATTACCTTTTTTCACAGTTTCTCTATAGGGTTCTAACTTAGTATTGCCATCCTTATGTCCTAAAGGACTTGAGTTAACTGGCTAAGAACCACTCTCTCAAACTATCTACTTGAGTCTACATGGAGAAAACAAATTTCTAAAGGGTGAGGAAAGTAGGCACTCACTGTTAGAGCCAGTAGTTTCCCATAGGTGAGATGAGCAGGAATGTGGTCGGTCTTGGATCTCAATGATTCCATATACCAATGCTCTGCTTCAGGGAGTTTGCTTAATCGCATGTACGCTTCACCTGGAAAATGAAGTGTGAAGAATCAATGTGAGGACGTAGCTTTCCAACAGTTCTTGCAACGCCATCACATTATCATGTGTATACACTATGAAATTTCAAATACTTTGGCAAGCATTTTCATCCGTTATCTCATTTGATTCCCCCAAAGTCATCACATTTTACAGATGAGAAAACGTGTTTGATTAAATGAAATGGCTAAAGTAAAAATTTTATTAAGTGGTAAAGCTTTAATTTTTTACCTAGGAACATCTGACTCCCAAGTACATATTCTTTATAACCATTCCTTTTTTTTTTTTTTTTAAAGAGAAGGCTTTCTTCTTTCTTACGTACAATCATTTGTTTTTGTTAATTTACATTCATTCATTCCTTTAAAACTTCAAGCATTTAGAGAATAAATACTAAGTAAAGAGCATTATGTAGGACCTAGAGGAGAGAAGTTTAAGGTCCTACCCTCCAAGGTTTACAACCTTACAGAGAAAGTAAGATTAAATGAAGACATTAAAAATTTATGGATTAAGCACTGGTGCTAGATTTTTTTCAGAATTATTTGCATTTTATATTTTAATAAGTAAATAAAATTTACCAGTTTCATTTTTAAAATCTAATAAATACATGACAATTACTTATTATGCCCAGCACCATGGACAAAGCTAGTCTGAAGCCTTTTAGTCATCAGCTATTACTTTCACGTTACACAAATCTTACCTACCAAACAGCACTGCAGTAATAGCCAAGCGAAGGAAAGAAATTGGAAATAGAGCCAAAAATATATTATTTGCCCTCTTATCAAAGTATCTCTCTCCCTTTAGTGTGAATAGTGCAAATGTAGAAGCTACTCAGTTTCTGAGTCCAAGCAACAGATTGGTAGCCTGATTATTTTTCAAGCAGACTTCTATAGCTTAACTAATCATAATTAGGATAGCTTCTTCCAATTAGAGGCATAATCAAATGTTTTTTCTAAGTGTATTACCCAAATTGGTTGTACATCCTTGTTTCAAAACAAGAGCTAGTTTCCTTTTATTTTAATCATATACTTACTCTATCAGCACATTATCAATATTAATATGTTTGATGAATTGAATTAATTTGAGTCTCCTGGCCTTTTCAGTGCCCTTTGCTCAGCTGGTCAGTAAAAAATATTGGCGGTAAAAAATATGTAATATGCGTGAGTGGAAAAAGTATGTATCCACTCACACATTTATGTGCTTCTAGTTCTGAGAACAGTCCTTAAACTACACTATCATAAAAATAACAGCTATGAAATGTTTTGTTTCACTAAAACTTAAAATGTATTTGCATTTTAAAAGGATTTGGTTAGACTAAGTCTCATGCTCAGAGTGAGATGCAAGAAATACTGATGCAAAAGCCAAAGACTGAAACAAAATACACAAAACGCTTAAAGTTGTCAGAATGGTAGGATTAGGAATTATTTTTAATTAATAATTTTCTGTGATATTATTATAAAATTTCTATAAACACTATTAAACAGATTTCTTTTTGCCATGTCAAACTAACAAATGTTCCCAAATAAAGAGAACAGTAATTTTTCTTTGGGAAAGTGAACCACTAATCACACTAAAACGATGCTAGATATAATTTATACACAGGAAGGATGCACAATCTCTATAAAGTACTAAAAATTTTAAAGTAATTAATGATAAATTATACCTAAATATTTATCTCTGAAATGCATTCTAAAGCCAGTAGGAAACACATACTAACATCGGAGTTACAGCTGAAGATGGGCATGCATTGCAGGTTGTTTGGAATGAACCTGAAATTCTACCTTGGGTCTTCAGATGCTCATAAACCACTTTTTAGAAGATGTACAATCATTGCATTTAATATAGCTTCTACTTTTTACTTATAAAAAAAACAACTAGTTTGTAGAATAATAGCAGTAGGTTGTCCTGAAAAAGAACACAAGAGAACCCCAATTCCAGAGTGCTTGAGATTCAAATCTTTATATTTATTGTTGATGTCTAAAAATCACTTCTTTTTGAAGTCAGATAGCTATCATTATTAAAACCTGTTTTGAGATGAAATACTATCATTTCCTAAATAATTCATGGTTGTACCATTATCCTCAGTGAACTCATAAATAATTTATTAATTTGTAAAGTGTGTGAGATGGAAAAATATCAAAGGACTATAAATAAGAAATATAATAATGCCTCTTGGCAAGTATATGAAACAATGTAAATAACCAACTTACTTGGGTACTATTAATAACAACTTAAAAAACTTTATGTACCATTCATTGTTTCTTGTAAAAATAATGATTACAATGACAATAATTTACTGAATGTTTATTATGAATTAGGGTAGCAAGCTTCGGTGAGGAGAGGTGGGCCGACGTGTGTTTTGCCCTCACATTCTATATCTTTGGACATGTAAAATGTTTTGTCATTTTCCACACAAAGCCTTAACAAATTACCTCCATTCAATAACTACCAGGTAACTGTTCAGAGGAGGTTTGTAAAATGAAACATTTCCAATCTATTAGTTGCTTTATATATGTATCTCATTTACATTAAGAAATGTCATTACCTGGGCTTTACAAATGAAGAAACTGAGAAACACAGTGGCTAAATAAAACAGAAAAACTCATAAATGTGAAAAAATGTAAAGCTGTAGTTCAATTCAGAACCACCTAACCTCAAAGCACATTGCTTCAACCAGCGGGTACAGAGTAATCTGCAAACTGTCTGACTCCCAGCTCAGGTGAAAATATACTCTTTCTTACTCCAAGAAAATTGTTTTCTAGCATGTGATATATTGGCCATGAGGTTTATGTCACTTTGCTTTGGGTTTATCTGTTAAATTAAAGGAATAAGGAAGGGAAATAATAATCCATGGATGACCTTTAAAAATGCTGCTGCCACATGAGTTACTCAATTCTTAAAGAGGAAATATTCGCATATAAGATGCACTTTAAGTTCTAAGGTTAACTTCAACACAAAAACAGTCTATAAAATTGGTAATAAAATCAAGATGCAAAGCCTAATAGGCAGGAAAATGATTGTGTATGAATTTAAATGTATTTAACAGGTAACTCAATAAAGATTTAAGCAATAAACAAGTACTAGCTATAACCCCGGCAATGACCAGGTAGGGGGTTCATGCTTCTCATTTTTAATTCATAGCAGAGCTTAGAATACTCATTTTACGGATGAGGAGGAAGGCTCAGGAATGATAAGTGACTTGCACAAGGACAGTTAATAATCCTGTCCGAAAAGGTTTCAATGGTTCTAAAGCTCGTGCTTTTTTCCATTATACCAAACTGCCTACCATATAAAGCCGATTATTTATTAACTACCTACTAAGGTCTTTAATATATTTTCTTACACTTTTACATTATGCCTGCACTGAGCTTAACCAACTGGCTCAGTATTCAAAAACAAGCAAATGCTACATTCGGGATTCAGATTAGAATCCTCCCTGACTCTTTCTACTACACCGTTCTGCCTAAATACTATAAAAAGTAATGAGAGAGGGGACACAGTAACTGCCAAAAGTGCCATCAGTGGACACAGCTTTAGGACGGCACAATATATATGTAATACTTTATCTCGATTAAAATAGTAAAACATAAAAATTCCATGAAGGAAATGGACACAGAAAAAGAAAGTTTAGTGAATTCAGTAAGGAAGGAAATGAAGATATTTGGTTGGGAATGGGTGGAGGGAGGGGGTTAAGTCGTCTTCCCTGGTACTATAATTCTTCTTAACTTACAATAACAGAGAAAAAAAAGTTTATAGTACCCAGGAGGAAAGAAGCAAGGATATTTTTCCTTCTCATCCTGCAAAAAGCAAAACAAACAAAAAAAATGACATAATCGAGGCACTTTTGTAAGAGTGAGATTTGCTGTGCAGTGATGTAGTGATTAGGTTTATCACCCAGATTTATTTCCGATTCACTTGTAGACAAAAGGGATTTGGATGTCTCCAGGTTGGCTTCAGGCAGATATAAACCAGTTGCAGATGTAGAACAAATAATGTTACTCTTCCTCCCTAAAAAGCTTGCATCTACATAACCCAGGCCAAGCTTACTCCTTAAAGGAAAACATGCTGGCCTATTGATGATGTAATAGTCCAGACCTCACTGATTCTCATGTTTCAAGTTACTGGACAGCTTCAGCTTGCAGATAAAGAATAGAGCACGTAGTGGAGCGAACACAGTACCATATTTGCCAGTGTTTCTTTCTGCTTCTCCTGCCCTTAGTCAAGATAGTATATTTCTATGTTAAGTTTCAGTTTAGATTCTCTATTTTTTTTCAGTTTTATTGAGATATAATTAACATACAGCACTGTATAAATTTCAGGTTTCCACACAATGACCTAACTTACGTATATTGTGAATGATTACCACAATAAATTTAGTTGAGTTCCATAATTTCAGATAGATACAAAAAAAGATTTTAAAAAATTTCCCATTGTGATGAGAACTTTTGGAACCTACTTTCTGAACAACTTTCAAATATATCATACAACAATATTAACTACAGTTGTCATGTTGTACATACAGTCTCAGTACTTTTAAGTAGAAATTTGTACCTTTTCACCACCTTCATCTAATTTTCCCATTCCCCAGATTCCCTATTTTTTAAAAAAACTTTTGTGACCAAGCTTACCGAAAGTGATCACCCCTTATTCTATTCTTACAGTAATTGTGAATGTTCTTCTTTAAAAACTCCTGAATAAATATCTTACATATCAATTTAGGTTAACTATATGGATGATACATATGATGGTAAACATAAACATTAATGAGGTATCAGTCCTTCCTGCCTGCACAGTGCTTGCAACATAAATGTAATGTATAATGTATTTGGGAAATGATAAATAAATGTATTTATTAGCATTTCCCAAAGTTTGATTTTTAGGTGCTCATGAAACAAAGCTACACAAAAAATACTTTTTAAAAATTAATACTTACAAAGTTCATCTAACCTGTGTTTTAAAAATGAGATTTCATAGAAATCGTGATTTTCAATGAAA